CTGTAGTCATTCTCCCACACCAGGGCATGCAGTGGAAACCTGAGGCTGAAATCCTCGACGCTGGCAGCGGTGGCCGATAACATTCTGCCTCGATCAAACTCTCCGTATCTCCCCCTCCAAAATCAAGAGCCAGCCTGCGAGCTAGCTACTGTCATGAACCATCAAAGCTCTTCATGCGTTTAATTAATTGTTAATAATTATATAGTGACTCTGACTACCCACCACCAGTCTACATACATAAGCATTTACGGATTTCCCTCCACCCCCCACCCACCCACACACGCACGCACGCACGCACACACACACACACACTCACCGTCTGTATCTCTTTTTCCAGCTTTCTGTAGTCATTCTCCCACACCAGGGCATGCAGTGGAAACCTGAGGCTGAAATCCTCGACGCTGGCAGCGGTGGCCGATAACATTCTGCCTCGATCAAACTCTCCGTATCTCCCCCTCCAAAATCAAGAGCCAGCCTGCGAGCTAGCTACTGTCATGAACCATCAAAGCTCTTCATGCGTTTAATTAATTGTTAATAATTATATAGTGACTCTGACTACTAAACAGGTGGATTTTAGTAAAGGAGACGCCGAAAACGCAACCAACTTTTTTCAAAATAAACTTTTGAAAAACAAGGAAGTGGCAGGTCGAAACTATTTGGGTGGGGGTGTATCCAGTCATATGACAAATCTTTCCTCCAAACCCTATTGCATTTAGTTGTATTTATAAATAATGTTCTCAATATAAAATGATCGACAAGACCCTAATTAGCTATATATGACAAATAAAAAAAAAACAATAATGGAAAAATAATTATTTTTTCTTATTGAAATGGGCGAGCCCAACGCCAGACTAAACCATTTCATAAAAAGGAGGGGCGGTCGTGCTATAAAATATGGCTAAATTGTGTAAAATCAAAGAGTGAATTTTGCGTGTTCGTAAAGAGAAGTAATTTTTTTTAAATCTAGGCATGAAACGAAAATGTTTTCAAACGAAACATCAGTAAATGATTGTAATAAATAATTCGCTCGCCTGTGGGTAGGCGCGACGCCTCTGTGTTTTAAATGATTTTAGCTCATCAGGAGCGGCTGGTGATGAATCACTTCTGCGCATGCGCGGAAACGAATGCAGCATGTTATGAAGATCGCGTCCTACATGCCTTCAATTTCATTTCCGACTGTCTGGTTAATTCCTGGGTTTATAATTATGTTCCAAACATAAATAGGATTTATATTTAAAGAATTACATATTTAATATGATGTATTGTAATACGGCCCGCGAATAGATGGATAAATTGCTCAAATATCTTACGCGTTGCAGGGACGCGTCTGTCCACTGTGTGTCAGGCAGCGCTAGAAAGCTGATTTATCATCACTGTAAACTCAAATGTGTGGTCTGGGAGGGCAGATGGCACTCTTCTGCGATCTGATGGGTTGCTGGCGAGCATTTCCGTAGTGTAGTTTTTAATGCATCATGACAGAGGCTCCGCTGTCTGACTCGTCTGTCCTAATTTCAAGCTAGACAAGCTAAAGCCAGACATAACGTTGCATTATTTCACGTAGAGCAGGCAGTGCAGATGCATGCACACATTGAACTCCTCCGTATGCGCGTCCTCTTCGGGAATGAGATCCGCTTTCAGTGATAAAACCCTTTTAAACGGATTCAATCATCGTGTCAAAGCGGTGCATGCTTTAAATTTACCCGTGGACGATTCTGGGTCGATAATACATGGTAATACCAACGTTCCCGGAGACAAGGATGTCGAAACGGCTGCGAAATAGCGAAGTTTGTGCGGACTGCAGCAGTTCGGGTGAGTATATTCCGGGTACAAGGGATTTTTAATAAAAGACCTAACTTGCATCAGATGATATTACTGAATTAAGTGACCGAATGATAACATTTAACTATACAAATGTATGATTCAGATTTGGACGCTAACCTCAATTCAGCTTTGGATATATGAATGGATAATAAATGTATGTGTTTTGGAGTGTATGCATGCAGCGTTGACTCACCTCTGCGGGTGTTTTCAGCTTCAAATGATGCTGTGAAGATTTATGATCAGTCACACCATATTCTACTTAATTTTTTTTCTGGGGAAATCAGCTAAATGTACTCTATTGATCCTCAAGCTGTGTTCCTGGTTAAAACATCTACAATATCTAGTTTCTTGATGGTGTAAGTTTGCTTAATGGTGACATTTTATTTATGTCTTCTATCTCTGAGAAGTCAGGGCAGTGCATGTTTTGGTTAGAGTCACTTGTTAGTAATAAATAATGCTTTTTATTACAAGCAAGTGACCCTAACCAACACACACAGTGCCCTAACTTCTGAGAGGCTGAAGAAATAAATAAAACATCACATACTATTGTTGTCCTGATTACACGATGAAAAACTGCATCAGAGTTTTGACCTCCAAAGACTATAAATGATATTATTTAATTGCAGACATGTGTAGAGAACAATTTCATAAACCCCATATTGTTATTCATTTAAGAAATGTACTGTATTTAAGATAGACCTATTTTGGTGCTTGAACTATGAAGCACTGTTAATTTTTTGTCCTGTGTTTTGTTTATGTTGCATTGTTCGGTTTTCTCCTCAGTCCCCTTATTGATTGCCCTTGATTAGTTATGCCTCAGTCACCAGCTGGCCTGGGATGCGTGTCAGTATCATTGGGCAGTTGTTGTTAGGGTGAATATATTTTTAGTCATTCAGCACTTGGTTTTATTTTAGCCACTGCAGCACTTGATGGGGAAGAGAGCAGCACTTGGCTTGAAGAGAAAGAAAAGGAGAGGGAGGGAGAATGATGATTGTGCCAGGTGCTTGATTCTGGCCCTTGGCCTCTTTGCAGCTGTTGTTTGATACTTCCTGTGCTTGAAGGGAAGTGACTTTTGCTTCTAGGCTGCTCTCTGCTTATCAGCGGATCAGTTTTTAATTTAGATATCTCATGTTTCTGTCAGACTGATGCAATAGTGGTATCATATGTCCCTCACGCAGGCTGTGAAACCCAAATTCGTCATTAACTTCTTTAGTGTGGGCATCTTCAATAGCCTGCCCACCTGACGCAGTAAAATTATGCGTTTAAGTCTAGATTTATCCCTCTAGCTTTCCTCACTTAAGTTAGGGAATAGGGATTGTATTTGCAGTCCTCTGAGGTCAAAATAGACTGAAGAAAATAAACATAACCTTTTTTAAAGCAAATTAATGTATTTTTTCTCAGTAACATTTGTTATGTTAATATTTTGGATTTTGAGGGGATATCGTGGTATATTCACCTCTCAATTATTCACCATAATTATTTAAATCTAAAATAATACAAATAATTGAATTATTTTTCTAATAGCCTAATACATTGTTTAAAGGGGTCATAGGATGCTACATGCACTTTTAGAAGTTGTTTGAACTTAAATGTGTGTTGGCAGTGTGTGTACACAACCACCCTATAATGATAAAAATCCACCCAGTGTTTTTTTTTTAAATCTCATTAAATGTTTTCCCCTTTCTCAAATCGAAAAAACGGCTTGATCTGAAAAGAGCTGTTTTTGACGGTAAAAAAGGTGTTTTTTACACTACCATTGAGAAATTTTAACCAAACTATGTTACAGACTTTTCATTAAGACCCTAAAGAATCATATCAACTTGTGAAAAATGGGCATCCTATGACCCCTTTAAGTTAGAAACAGAGCAGTAGAGCATTAGATTTAAAATCTAATGCATAGAAGGCAGATTGGTGCCATCTAATGTGAGAAATAAATAGTTGTATTTAAATGTATGTATTTATTTATACCTTTGTTATGTATTTCCTAGTTGCTAAGAGTATTTTCAGACATAATTACTTACTTTTATTGGGTTTTGCATTTGGATGTTCAGACATGATCAATAACTACTTTATTATGGCTGACTTGTAGATTGTACCCCCCAAAAACCTTTTTTTTTTTTTGTATTTCGCATTAATTTCCTATGCCAGTTATTTTTTATCGCAAAGATCACAGGTGTGACTATTTTTTAATACCATTTAGCCTTTTCTAAAAATATACAGATTTTGTGTTTATATAGCAAATGCAACAATTTAAATTAAATTAAAAAAATGTAAAAATTCATAACTTTTTTTTGCCTCAAATTTTAGGCATCCCAATAAGAATATAAAAACTTAAATTAACATTTAATTAGAAAAAGCATTTGCCTGTAATCAGTGTGAAAATAAAATCCTCAAAACTCTCTGTTCTTGGGGAATTCTGACACACTAGAGCGCTGACTCATGTTGTTTCTGAAGGAAGTGAAATCACACGTTTGCCAGAATCTTGCGGGGGGGTGTTGGTACGATGCAGAAAATATGAACACAACACATCTTGGGTTGGCCCCACTTTCACTGATTTGGCATCATGACTCAGTGAGGGAGTGAGACTATGACATATTCTATTAAAAACTGGCTTGGTATGGGACGCCCATGAAGGACGAGTGCCAGTGACAAGTGTTAATGTATGAGCAGTGATTCTGTCTCTGGGTCGTTGAGTTTGTCTAGTGTAGTAGTGGGGGATCTCTGAGCAATCAAGGGTTTGGGCCAACTGGCGGGTCGTGACCTAAAAATGGGTTGCAGCTTGCAACTAACCATATAATGTGCTTAGTATAGCAAAGTGATGAAAAAATGTAAGTGATAATACCGCTGCAATATTTAGCCCCGTGTTTGTTACATGTGTTAGGCTGGTAAATCACTCTGTTGTTTATGCATTTACAAATACTATAAAAATCCTTTACAGCCATTCAGCCAATCCATTTTATTTTATGCTAAATTTGTTGAGGATATGCAGTTCATGGCAATTTCATACATTTTTTTTCAATACTGATTAGATTAGATTTTTTTTGTAACTGTATTGGATTGCAACTTGATGTAAAATCTTGACGTTAAACCAGTTTTACACAGAATTACACTGCAGTAGATGACCCTCTCGAATAATCTCGAGCAAGTAAAGCTGTGCAATGTTTCCCAGTCACCTGCTCGTACCCTGGAAGTAAAGCTCAGCTGCTTAGCATTTGTTGTGGTTTGAGTGAAAAATTTAAGGGGGTCTGAATACTTTCCGTACCCACTGTATATGTAAGAGGAAGTTAGTGTGTGTACAGCCGTACATAAAAGGATGACATTCAACCCTTGCTACTGTGACCTTATAAGGAAGAACTCCGCACCATATTTTGTTTTCGTCATATGTGACCCTGGAGCACAAAACCAGTCTTAAGTCGCTGGAGTATATTTGTAGCAATAGCCAAAAATACATTGTATGGGTCAAAATTATAGATTTTTCTTTTATGCCAAAAATCATTAGGATATTAAGTAAAGATCATGTTCCATGAAGATATTTTGTATATTTCCTACTGTAAATATATTAAAACTTAATTTTGGATTAGTAATATGCATTGCTAAGAACTT